AGCGGTGGATAAAGGAGCAGTTTTTTTGGAACACATGCATGAGTGTCACACGTGCTTGTGTTTTCTGATCCTCACCTGTCGCTGCCACGCTCCGACGGTGCAAAACCACTTTTTTCTTTGCCTCCACCTTTAGATCAGACCACTTCTTGATTTCGGCAACGCTGCGCTCAGTGCCAGCCGCACTTACCGCCACGGCAACGGTGTGCCATTCGGTGGCTTTTCTTTTATTGGTGATGCCACTCGAATGGCCGCCGAATAAGGTCTCCCGTCTCGCCGCCACCTCATTTACAAGAACCTCCACCGCGGTCTCTGAAAAGTTTCTTTTTCTACGACTTGCTGATGCCATGATTAAGCGTGAAATGCCATAAATCCAAAAATAAAGGCTTATTTATATGCAAATTACAGTCATGAGGTAATTTGCATGACCATACATGGTGAATTTTGGGTGTGGAGAGGGCGGGGCATTCATACTACTTCACTTTTTTCACTTTTTGTTATGTTACAGCCTTATTCCAAAATGGATTAAATTCCCTTTTTCCCTGAAAAATTCTACACAAAATACCCCATAATGACAAAGCGAAAAACTTTTTTTCGAACATTTTGTAAATTTATTAAAAATAAGAACACTCAAATGTTGCATATACATACATATTCACACCCTTTACTCAATACTTGGTCGAAGCAACTTTGGCAGCAATTACAGCCTCCAGTCTTCTTGTGTATGATGCAACAAGCTTGGCACACCTGGATTTGGGGAGTTTTTCCCATTCTTCCTTGCACATCCTCTCAAGCTCAGTGAGGTTGGATGGGCAGCGTCGGTGCACAGCTACTTTCAGGTCTAAGATGTTCAATCGGGTTCAAGTCTGGGCTCTGGCTGGGCCACTCAAGGACATTCAGAGACTTGTCCTGAAGCCACTCCTTCGTCTTCTTGGCCGTGTGCTTAGGGTCATTGTCATGCTGGAAGATGAAGCGTCGCCCCAGTCGAAGGTCTTGAGCGCTCTGGAGCAGGTTTTCACCAAGGATTTCGATGTACTTAGCTGCATTCATTTTTCCCTCTATCCTGACAAGTCTCCCAGTTTCTGCCACTGAAAAACATGCCCACAGCATGATGCTGCCACCACCAGGCTTCACTGTGGGGATGGTATTGGCGAGGTGGTGAGCAATGTCAATGTCAATGTCACGTTTATTTATATAGCACATTTATAGGACGGGCCAGACAAAGTGCTTTACAGGAGAAAAAAAAAACATAAAATAATAAAAGCTACAACAATAAAAGAAAAGCGTATGCGAGTAAAAGCAGGTGACAACTCAACCAAAAGCTAGGGTAAACAGGTAGGTTTTAAGGTGCATTTTGAAGGAGGTGAGGCTGGTTGCAGAACGCACAGACTGAGGCAGGGCATTCCACAGTGTGGGAGCAGCAACTGCGAATGCCCGATCCCCTCTGCTTTTAAGCTAGGTTCTCGGCACATCTAAGACCATCCGGTCAGCAGACCTCAGGGATCTGGTGGGTCGGTGCGCCTTGACAAGGTCAGATAAATATTCTGGGGCCAGCCCGTGCAAAGACTTAAAAGCAAATAAAAGAATCTTAAAATCTATATAGGGTACTAAGGGGCCGAGGGAGCTGGCAAGGACCTGGACGGTGTCAGGGTTGCCAAAGAGCACAATCTCAGTTTTGTTTTCGTTCAATTTTAAAAAGTTCAGGTCCATCCATGTTTTAATATCCCTCATAGAGTTGAACACAGCCTGAAGGGATTCCTTGGAGGGGGCTCTTAGCGGCAGGTACACCTGCACATCATCAGCAAAGTAATGGAAGTGGATGTCGTGCTTCCTAAATATTGACCCCAGGGGAAGCATGTAAAGGGAGAACAGCAGAGGGCCTAGAACTGACCCCTGAGGGACTCCACAGGTTAGAGGGGCCACTGAGGAGGAGTACTGCCCTAATTGTACACTGAAGGATCTGTCGGCAAGGTAGGATTTAAACCATTCTAGAGCGGGGCCTTTAATGCCTACAGTGTGCTCAAGGCATGATAAGAGGATGGAGTGGTTCACCGCATCAAATGCTGCTGTAAGGTCGAGAAGCATTAAGAAGGCACAATTACCCGAGTCAAGATTTAAAAGAAGATCATTAAAAACTTTTAAAAGAGCAGTTTCAGTGCTATGAAGAGGCTTGAAAACTGACTGGAATAGCTCACCAATATTGGTTTGATCTAAAAAATGTTGTATTTGGCCAAGAACAACTTTTTCTAAAACCTTGGAAATAAACGGGAGCTTAGAAATTGGCCTAAAGTTAAAAAGCGACAGGGGATCCAGGGTTTTCTTTTTCAGTAGAGGCTGCACTGTGGCATGTTTAAAAGAGGATTGGACGTATCCAGAACTAAGAGACAGATTTATAAGAAACAAGATAAAAGACCCAACTGAGCTAAAAACCTCTTTAAGCAGGCAGGAAGGGATGCTGTCAGATGGGCAGGTGGCAGGGCGCAAGTGCTCTACTATCTCAGCCAGTGCAGGAAAAGAAACAGGCTCAAACTGGTGGAAAACAGCTGAGCTTGCTGCAGAAGCTGAGGGGTCCAGAGCAGGCTGAGGGAGTGGAGATCTCAGAGCAGCCATCTTATTGACAAAAAATTCCAAAAACTCCTCGCACAGAGAAGCAGATGGTTCCACAGAGACAGCATCACAGGGGTTCACAAGTGAATCAAAGACATTGAAAAGAACCTGAGATTTATGAGCATTTTTGGAGACAAGAGTGGAGAAATATTCCGCTTTTGCAGCTTTAACGGCCTGCTGATAATTAACGAGACAATCCCAAAGGAGATCCCGAGAAATCTGGAGACTGTCTTTCTTCCACTTTCTCTCCGCCTGTCGACATGCGCGTCTTAGCGCACGAGTGGACTCATTTAGCCATGGCCCGATCTGTGGCTTAACATGCTTCAAGTTCATCGGCGCAAAGGAGTCTAAGATCTCAGTGCAAAGAGAATCAAACTTTTTCATACAGGCATCCACACTGGGATCGCCAAAGTCACCAGGAGAATACAAGTCTTTCCAGGTCTTTCCAAAAGGAGCAACATCATCTTTCCGGAGCCAGGTTTCAGTCAAGCACATAAAACCCAGTTTGCGTGAGGTAAAGAAGTCATTGAGTAGAAACGTCTTCTTGGCAACCGATCTCACATTCAGCAAAGCCAGGTGGAGATCAACGGTGTCCAAAGATTGAGGCACGCCTCAGCGTGCGGAGGTTCCAACGGTCCACACCACGTCTTCCGGTCCGAACACGCCAGCAGGTAGCAACAGCTGATCGGAGTCCGCCGAGCAGGTGCCGCAGCTAGCATCCGGGAGCACCGGCCGGATCCATCGGGCCCCAATCCTCCTCGATCGCAGGGTGGGAAGATAGTCCAGAAAGCGCAGACCAATGCCACAGTTAAACACACAAACAGACCTCAGGTGAGCCTCCAGCTTGACCCGGTAGCCACTGCATTTACCCCCTCTTTTACGGCATCTCTGCCAGGCAAGATGGTGTGGAGGACGCCTCAGAAACGCCGGGATTTCCTCGAGGCATGGAGAAAAGTTCACCAATGGATCTTTACTGGAGAAACCTCCAATCTCAAGCAGAGTATGTCGGTCGTAGGTGAGGAGAGACGACACCTCATGACAGAGAAGGTGGAACACTAAACACACAGCAAACACAGAGCAGAGCGACAGACGGCCAGCTGAACACCATGGCGCCATCTTGTCTTTCAGCAGTGCCTGGTTTCCTCCAGACATGATGCTTGGCATTCAGGCCAAAGAGTTCGATCTTTGTTTCATCAGACCAGAGAATTTTGTTTCTCCTGGTCTGTGAGTCCTCTGGGTGCCTTCTAGCAAAGTCCAAGTGGGCTGTCATGTGCTTTTTACTGAGGAGTGGCTTCTGTCTGGCCACTCTACCATAAATGCCTGACTGGTGGAGTGCTGCAGAGATGGTGGTCCTTCTGTAGGGTTCTCCAATCTCCTCAGAGGAATGCTGAAGCTCTGTCAGAGTGACCATCAGATGCTTGGTCACCTCCCTGACCAAGGCCCTTCTCCCCCGTTTGCTCATTTTGGCTGGGCGGCCAGCTCTAGGAAGAGTCCTGGTGGTTCCAGACGTCTTCCATTTCCTAATGATGGAGACCACTGCGCTTTTTGGGATCTTCAATGCAGCAGATATTTTTCCGTAACCTTCCTCAGATCTGTACGCCGATACAACCCTGTTTCATAGGTCTACAGACAATTCTTTCGACTTCAAGGCTTGGTTTGTGCTCTGACATGCTCTGTCAGCTGTGGGATCTTGTATAGACCGGTGTGGCTTTCCAAATCATGTCCAATCAGCTGAATTTGCCAAAGGTGGACTGCAATCAAGTTGGAGGAACATTTCAAGGCTTATCAGTGGAAACAGGATGCCCCTGAGCTCAATTTTGAGTTTTATAGCAAAGGGTGTGAATACTTATGTAAATGCAACATTTGAGAGTCTTATTTTTAATAAATTTGCAAAATGTTCTGAAAAAAGTTTTTTGCTTTGTCAATATGGGGTATTTTGTGACGTCTCAAAATAAAGGGGGTGAAATTTGTGTTGAAAATAAAAAAAAAATGACAACACACAATTACAGCTTTCTGCATCATGTCTTGTCTGGTCTCCCTCCTATGAGGTGCTTCCAGTCACCAAAGCCAAGCACTTTTCAGACAGTTTGTGAACATGTCTTACATTAACAATCTCCTGTGAACTGTGGGGCAAAAAATCAAAAATATGTCAAAAAAGTTGTGACACAGCTGTGTCAATCTATTGACAGTTGCATCTAATCTAGGATCATTAATATTTTGATTGGGTCAATGCAAATTAAGTTCACTTACATTGAATTCTGTGATGAGATGTTCTCTGTTTTCTCCAAGATATTCTATCAGGCACCGAAGGACAACCTCTCTGATCCTCTCAACAGAAGAGTGTGAAGATGCCTGGCAAGAAAAGTAACAAATTATAAGCCAATCATAAAAACAAAGGAAAACAAAACACACTGAAGATGTAAATGTAACCACAACACTTGCTGCACACCTTGGGTATGATTATTGTGATTCTGATCATGGCGCTTTTGAATTTGGACAGTGCTTACTTAAACTGCTTCACAAAAGAGCTAAAAATCCATTGAGTGAATTCTTCAGGTCATGGCTAAATCCCCCTTTCCCCCTTCCTTCATTCATGCCTTTTTCATTCCTGCATATAGACTCTGATGAGTGCTATAACTCTGTTAAGATGGAGTACTGGTAAAATACAAATAGTGCTTTCAATACACTTACCTTTAATACCCCTTTGTTTCTTTAAAACACCCACAAATAGACTTCAACTGAATCTAAGGCATATTATCTGGATGCATATTTTTTTCTAGTTTTTGCGATCTTGAGGTGTAAAAACAATGTGCTTTGGAATCTCATAAATTAAGCTATCTTTAATTTTATAAGTATTGTACCTCCATTAGTTCCATGATGGTTTTCAGTTTTTGTCCAAGTGCTCCACCTGTCACACTCTGCTGTGTATCTCAGGCTGACTCTCACTCACCTGCCACACCTCACCCCTGCCACACCTCCTCATCAGCACTGATTCCCCACACCTGTGAGTGACAAGCTGCAGCTCCTCACTGCTGATTAGCCAGCCAGCATTAAAGTCACTCTGTGACCCTCAGTCAGTGCCAGATTGTCTTCGCAGCATGCACGACTCTCCAGCATTACTTCTTGGATTGACTTCTCGGTTTCGACTCCTGCCTGTCCCTGACCACGTCTTATCGTCTCATCCCTTGGATCCCCTGTCAAGTTTCTTCGCTCTGGTGAGAACTTCAGGTTTTGCTGTGTTGCTGGCTTCCCGACCTACTGCCTGTCCACGACTATCCTTCCGTCTGATCTCTCTGGAATTAGTCTGCCCCGCTGATTGTCTGCCTGGATTCGACATTGCCTCCGCTTTGACCACGAGCTCAGCCTGCCCCTCGACAGTGCCGCTGCACTTCACAAAGACTCTCAGGTGTAGTGTGTTTTCTGTGTTCACTCACCTTTCTGCCTGTTGGATCTGTTTCCTGTGGATCTGTCTTCTGGTGGACTTGGAGATTCTACAGAGACTGCTTAAATCAATCCCAGTATCTTCAGTTTCCTGTGTGCTGTGATCTGTTGCAATAAAAATAGCTTCTAAACCACTACCTGCTGTTGTGCTGCACTTGGGTCCTACATCCACACCCCTGACACCACCTTTGGCATGGAACAGCCTGAGTAACTTGGGAGTGTGAAGGTCCAAGGCAGCCATAAATCGGGGCTCCAGAGGCATGGTAGTGATTCTTTGAAATTCTGCACTGATCTGAAAAGTCAACAAAAGTGAAAAGGTTTCAGACCACACTTAAACATTTCATACATTTACATACAATATATTCTGCAGCTTTCACAGAGTACTTATTAGAACTGTCATCATATTTATTAACTGTCATTAACATTTTGTCTCTTAACAGCAATTACAAGAGTAAACTCACCTTTGAACAACTGAACAGGGCAGGCTAGCGGTCCTTCATGGCTTGAACACTTGGACATTGGTTGATTGCTTCATGTCGTCTGAGGGCAAATGTATGGCTCATTTTGTCATTGACCATTTTCTCATTATTCTTTTTCTTGAACTCAGTGATTAGTTCTTCTCTTGTTTTTTCTAAGCTGTGCTCATCTTCACCAGCAGGGTAGAGAGGGAGATAGTTCACCTCTGCCCCTCTTGCCTTTTTAACATTTTTTGCAGACTTTTGGTCCTCAGGACATTTAATGCTTAGCGCATCGCATGTAACATCTGGAATCCCAAAGCCTCTTAGCTTTGTCCTGTAGTTACTCATTTTATATTTAATGTGAGTCAGCCATCCACTGAGACCTGAAGAGCACCCTGGATCCCTCAGACATGGTTGGGCCTTGATAAGCGCTTCAGCAACAGAGAGAACTTGCAGGGATGATGGGTAGGCAGTGTATGCATAAATGGAGTGAGCTAGCTTTTCAAGTATGTCAGACCTGATCTTTGGAGTTGTCAGCAATGTGCCGTCTTTTTTGTAAAGTTCATTGGCTCTTTAAAGAACTATCTCAGTTTCAACGGAGAATTCTGGAATGCTGAATTCAGCTGGCCATGGCTTTCTCTGTTGGTTGCAGTTTGGTGATAATATGATTGTGCTTGGGGTTGATGAATCTGACGAGTCAAGGGCCTCGTGCAGTAGAACTTGTGGAGGGTGGGTCAAAGGATTGCTCTGAGGTGACACTGCCAGCATAGCTTTCATTGAGTGGCACTGGATACAAATTAAGAACAACTGGTTCAATTGTCATGACCTGTACTGTTGCTCTGTTTTGAATTTGATTAGTGGAGTGAAGAGTGAAAAAGTCCTTGAAATCTGGATCTAAATACTGCAGGCTGAAGTCCCCAGTGATGCTTAATTGCTGTTTGATGGCTAAACTTAGCTCCTCAGTAGTCTCTGGTATTCCAGACAGAAGCGTCAGTTTCTCAATTCTGTGTCCAAAGATCACCCGGAGCACTGCTGGATCCATGTCCCGTTGCCTAGTGGGAAAAACAAAAAAAATCTTTAAGATTCTTAGGTCCAGAAAAAAAGTACAGTTAAAGACACTGCCATAGCCAGTTCTATTATTCGACACACTGAGCAACTTTTTGCTGATGAATGAGAAAACTAGTGCCGTGCTCGCCACTTTGAATGTCAGCATCCCTTTCCCCACATCAGTGATTTCTCCTGGCTTTTGCACGTTTTACATTCCAGTTACAGTTAATACAAAGCTCTTAAACATCTAACTGTTGATACACTGACCCAACGTTTTTGTAAGATAACTTTAGTTAATGTTTATGATAGTGAGAGCATTGATGATACGTTACCTGCCTGGCAAGAAGACTGTCTGACACAAAGCCGAAGTAAAGCTGATGGAATTACAGTTAGCATGTTTGGAAAATAAGATCCTCGTCTTACACAGCGTGGTATCCCTGGATAGCCCTAAAAATCCCCCATGAATGGAAACGAAAATCCATTAACATAAACACGATTTACTCTCCACCACAATTTACTGAGACAGCAAGTCTGTATAGCATATTTTCCTTGAGGAATATCCAAAACTTCTTAGTGGAACTACTAATCAGTAACTATCAAAATAAAAGCCTGTGGTTTTGCAACCGTAACTGCAGCAAATACTCTTGATATTTTCCTGATATTGTTGCTTTAATGCCATCACACTATAGTTTTCATTAACATAATGTGCATAATTTACCTTTCTGCCGCTTCCGTGTCTCTCTACCACTATGACTGCTATATTGTTTTGTAAAGTCCCCTAGCATGCACCCATGGGTCATCATTAACATTACAGTATAAACAAAATAAGTCTCCTTACCTTTGTCAACCAAACAAATTTGATAAGTTAAATAGAGGAAAAGGGGCAGCAGATATTTGCACTTACTTTGTCTTGTGACAGGATGAAAGCCTGCTGAATTCAAAAGAAGAAAAAAGGCGCAAAATAACAGGAAGTGCCTGTCAATTAAAAACTGAATGATTCTATTAAGTTGGATTTATTTAAAATTCTTTTGATTTAGAATTACATCAACATAAAAGTTATAATTTATGTAACCAAAATGAGCAGATTTTATCTTGGACATTTTTGTTTGAAAGTTACTTAAACTTTTGCCACAAAATCAAGGACGCATTTATATTGAATACATTTAATCAAATATATTAAGTAAAATGTAAATGACCACGGTATCATTTATTACAGTATACGCGCTTCTAACTCAGTAAGTTCACGTGACACAAAATTAAAACTTCATCCAAAACCCTGGACATTTGACGGATTTTATAAACTTCCCCAGACAAAGCCCGACAAGCCCAGACAGCCCCCCCAAAAGAGGATACATCCAGGTAAAAGAGGGCGTATGGTCACCATAATAAGTTAAACACTTGATTTTTATCAACTATTATTTTGCTGTGTGCACAATAATGGTTGAAGGGCTCTATTTTAATGTCTCAGCGCAGCGTAAATCTGGTCTGCAGAGGCAATGAGGCATGCCCAAGCATACTTACATATTTTGGTGAGCAGCACAGCCCGGCATAAGTAGCCCCCTCCCTAACTCAGCTCCTCCTAGCGGTGTAAGTACAAAAGAGGGAGGGGAGAAGGTGTGGAGTGTGTTGAACACAGCTGAGTCCAGTTTTCACCGATTATATCAGCTCCTCTCCTCTTTAAATCCACTACCGGTGAGACGGATAGCAAATTTTGTTGATTAGTTGAAAGATGGCTGAAGACAGTAATGCCACAAGAGGGCAACAGGATGCAGCCCCTCAACAAGTGTCGTGGTAAGTGCTGCGAAGGGCGTCTTTACACGTTCTCAGTTTAGCTCTGAGGGATCTGGGGCCTCATGTATCAATACTTGCGTGGGACTCATACCAGAAACGAGCGCACGCAAGGTCCATCACGCTGAAAAAAATCTGTATGTATCAATGTGTGCGGGCGCCGAAAGCCACGTGTGTTTCCTATATAAATCCCAATCAGCGTGGAATTGAGCGCAGAAGTCAGAGTGACCGGGCCCGCCCCCGTTACGCCCTCCTATAAATATGCAGATTTATTTAAATCGGGTCTCCCTGTCCTCGCACGCAGACAAAATGACAAGAAAAACTAAATTTACGGCGTGCAAGGTGGAGGTGCTGGTGGCGGAGGAGCGACAGCGTGTTTTGTTTGGCAGCCTGTCCAGTGGCGTCAGTGCAAAACGAAAACGCTTGGAGTGGGAGAAAGTTTGGGAGAGGGTCAACGCGGTGGGTTCCGAGACACGCACCCCCGCGGAGATTAAAAAAATGTGGTCGGACCTCAAGGTGGAGGTCAAGCGGCGTACAGCTGCCCTCCGGAGGAGTACCGGCCAGACAGGTGGGGGTCCGGGGGAGGAGAGCCTCACGCCGTTTGAGCAGCGGGTGGTGGCGATTATTATTATAGGGTAAGTGGCGTGTCACACAAATGTCCACATGCTTTGCCATCTCACTGAGCAAAAGACGTATATTAGACGTCTAGTCTAAGTTTATACTTCATTTCAACGTCGGGATTCAGTCTATTTTTAGACGTGATTTATACTTCGCCCTTAACTTTTTATGCAATAAACAACTGTAATGTGCATAACTGACCTCTAAACACTGGATTACATTACCTATGATACCATGGAGAGAGATGTAAACGCAACAGATACACAGAAGCAGGAATTGAAATGAACCAATATTTTTATTGTGTCACAGAAATCAATGTGTCGGCCGTGTCGCCGGCTTGCGGAACCACGGCCCGCGGCAGCCCGTCCGCCGGCTCGGAGTCGTCGGCCAGGACCACCCCGGCCCCCGGCACCAGCATCAGCACCAGCGCGCTGACAAGCGGTGGAGCGTACACCAGCCGTGGCGCTTCGGCTGGGCCACCCGGACGCAGTGGAAGGGTCCTCACGGAGGCGGTCCTGCAATCGCAGGAAGAAATCATCAGGGGGATCGCGGGGATCAACGAGCGGCTGGACCAGCTCGTAAATGTCCTCGAGCGTCTGGTGGCGAAAATAAATTAATTTGGCTCATTGAACTGTGTATTCACTTCTTACCCATTCACACTGTGGCGATGAGATTCTCCCGCGCGAGGACGGCGGCCCGGCAGGGATCAGCTCGCATCCCTCCGTCTGCTGCTGGTTCGTCATGTGGGGCGACGTGCTGCTCGGCCACGGGGATGTGGTGCATGCTTGTCACATAGTGAGTCACCAAACACCGCCACACAGCGTCGCCAAAGTGCCGTCAACGCAAGAATCGTCTCAACGCCAACTTCTACACCACTACCTCACTTTGAGTTGATTAGCGCTGGAACCGACGCTTGTTTCGCGATGATAAATCTGGACGTGTGCGCCGATTTTGGCGTATGCAAGGTTTTCTGGCGCCGCCAGCGTTGATACATAAGGCCCCTGGTGTGTGTAAGGTTGGACCCACTGTTAAGACAAACACCCTTTTTCCACAAATAAAGACACTCACATTACCTTGCATATATTTAAAGACCCACTCCGATGAAATCATGTTTTTCTTGTGTTTTTTATATTCATATGACATTTTTCTGATCCTACAGGACATATCATGAGAAAACTAAATGTGGAATTACTTTTTTCCCCCCTGTATTAGCCAATGATTTTGAGTATTTCTTAATTCAAATCGCTGTGAATCTCTGGCAGACCCAAACGGCAGGTTCAGAAACAGTGAGATTTCATATGTAACCAATCCAAGCTCTGCCCCCGGAGCCCTACTATGCAGGCCGCATATAGAGGAGAAATAAAGAGGACAAACACAGAACAAACATGTGCGTCAGCAGGTTCCAATGAAAGAAAGCTAATTATGATATTAGTTTTCATTGTGTCCCTTAAATGCATGATAACCATCACTAAGCTACCAGTCTGCAAGGGTTATCATGCCAAACCACAAACTAGGGAAGTGGAGTAGAGCATGACACAGGAGCGGATTTTCACTCCGTCCCACTCCCAGAGAAAAAATCCTGTCCCGTCCCATTCCCGGACCGGAGTAAAAAAAATAATCCTGTCCTGTCCCACTCCCATAATGACTCCCAATCCCATTAGGGTTGGGTATAGAGAATCGAGTATCGATGGGGACCGGGGCTAACATTTCGATTCTTCCGGTATCGTTCAAATATTAAAATTTCAATTCCAAGTTTCGATCCCGGAGTCCGCCTACCGGAAGAAATAGCCGCCGAAAATCAACGAAGAAGAAGCCGCTTAACACCAACGAGGACGGAGCGTATGAGACGAAGCCACACAGAAAGTGAAGAGAGACAGAGAGAGAAAGTACATCGCAACCCACAGCAATGCAGCCGCTGTGGGTTACAATGTACTCTCTCTCTCTGTCTCTCTCCTCTCTCTGTGTGTGGCTTCGTCTCATACGCTCCGTCCTCGTTGGTGTTCGGCAGCTTCTTCTTCGTTGGTCAAAAGTTTGGCTAACTTTAGCAGGAAGAATGAACTCTTATCTCAATGCAACATTAGCAATACAGTTGTATCATGCAAAGGAGGGTAAACGACCAACATGATTAAACACCTCAGGATTCATGGAGGAGAAATACCCGAGTGCTCGTCTTTGACGCGCTTCGCCTGTGTTGTGCCATAGAATGCACCCCTGCCGTAGAATGCACCCCTGACGGGAGCGCGGTTGGAAGTACACAACAAGGCGAAACAATCCAAGTTTTCCTTATCGTTGAACGGAATCTAAAGCGTGTGCCTTTAATGATTTCATTCAGGCTATTCAGATATGCCGAAAACAATAGACCTCTGATTCGGAATATTTACTGTCCCGAAAATATAATGTTCTCTACCTTAACAGCTAACTGTACAGTTTATATACCCAAGTACACTTCTGTGTGTGCATTTTTGAGACACATAAAAACAAAACAAAAGTTTACTGCTCCATTTGACATGTTTTTATGATCTTATACTCGTGTTTTTTTTAAATATGAGATCATTGTCTTCCACTTTAAGAAGCTAATGAGTGGAGGGGAGGCATTCTACGGCAGGGGTGCATTCTACAGCACAACACCTGTCTTCCGCTAACCAGTCAGGATCAGATAAGTGAAACAATAAATTACTCCTGTCCTCTGCTAACTTTGAAGCGGTAAACAAATTGTACTGTGTACAGTGAGTAAACTTAAATATCCAACTAACGTTAGCCCTTGTACTTTTTCATAGACAAACGACCTGACAACAAAAATTGATGTTTATATACTGGTTGAAAATAGCCCTGTGAGAAATTCATAGTAAAGTTCTTAAAAAGTTAATATGATTTAAAAATTCATGGAGAAGTTCAGAAATTTCATCCAAAAAGAAGAGCTCTGGTTGGCGCCCTCATTCAAACCATGCTTTTTTTTTTTGATATCCTGATAGCCTGATATTTGATAGCCTTTTAAAAGAATCGAAATAAAGAATCGATAGGAATCGGAATCGAAATAAGGAATCGAAATCGAATCGTTCAAAATCAAACGATACCCAACCCTAACTCCCATCCCGCTCCCACTCAAAATTACTCCCACTCCTGTCCCTTAAAAATGGCAGCCGAGTCGCGGCTGCCGGTAACACACAATATGGCTGTGTCTCATCTCAGAGACTGCACCATCGAACGGCGCATTTGAAGTGTGCATGATGTTATCACGCGGCACGAACGGTGTCCCATTTGGCCTGAAATGCTGAGCGCGCTTTAAATTCGGTCTCAAAACTGCACTACCCCCGCCCCTTTTTCAAGCGTGCATTTATGCACGCTTTTGTGGCCTTGGTATCCCAGAATTCTTTGCGTGCCGCTGCACAGCTGCGCATTTCGGGTGAGAGGCTGGACTAGCTTGGAGAAGCAGCGCATCTTCAAAGAAAACAAAAGAAATCCAACAACAGCAGACAGTCAGCCCAGGCTGTATGAGCGCATGATCTCTGAACTCACTAAAATCTGCAAACCAAACATTATACTCCTTAGAAAAGAACTGATCCACTTTGCTACCGCAATCAAAAACATTAGAAATAAGAAAGCTGCCAAAACAACATCAGAGAATCAGGACCACATTGAGTTTTTTTTTTTTTTAAGACTTAGATTTAAGTTGTAAATTTAGGAGAATAAAGTCATGTGGTGCTCCAACAAGCACCACATCTCTGACACCGGCGGTTACCTACACCTGCAGAGACACCATCGCCTTATCATGGCATATGGGTTCATATCATGAACTAAAGCTCAATGCCATGAATGGTTATTTATGACTGCATTGACAGATATATCCTCAGCATATCCATTTCTGCCTCCACAAAAGCGGCGATTTCCTCCAAGTCCACCTGTTTTTTTTTTTCCCCATGGAAAAGATGTATTTCTCATATGTTCTTTTTTAAGTCTTTATACTTGTGACAATGTAATGCTGATGTGCCAAAGGATGAAGTTTCTCCTTGTTTGTGAAACCTATACTGAAGCACAGTTCCTTTAAATGCTTGATGGCCCTAATTTTAATAAGTCTCCTCTGAAATAACAGGTAACCTTATGACTTTATTCTCATAAATTAATGACTTTATTCTTGTAAATTCATGACTTTCATCTCGAAGTTTTAAAAAAAATTCTCAATACAGCCCTCATACTCTTTCATACAAAACAATCATTAGATGAATTTTGTAGGAATGATCTGTGCTTGTATGTATCTGTTGTTTTGTGTCTGTGCAAGGTCGCACAATAAAAAAAAAAAAATGCTGCACTCCGCAGATAATCTATTAATGTTGTGCCTGCTCCCGTTGCTTTTTTTCCCCGTCCCGTCCCGATCGTGGGATTAATTGAAAAATGACTCCCATCCCACGAATCACGTGACCCACGGGAATTCCCGAAAAATGTCATCCTCTAATGTGGAGCAACTAAAAAAAACAAACTGGAACTTGCCCACCTCATTTATTGCAATCAGTGGTCTGGCTCATGGACTAGCAGGACAGAAAGATTCAGAATATCTTCTGTACCCACAGCCATCAGACTGTACTAGTCTTCTATGAATAGTAGATGACATTTTGAGACATGACAAATGAGACAACAGACAATTGAATTTCCCTTTGGGGATCAATAAAGTTCTTCTTATTCCTATTCTTATTCTTTACCCCTTAAGGACCCCTGGCTCTGAGCCCCCCTCCTTTTTATCAGCAGTGTGGCTGATCAAGCTGTTCCAACAACTGGAAGACATCAGAAGTTAAACACTCATTATTTTAATTTGATGCTAATCATGTGTTAATGAGACTAATCCTTGCAATGATTTAGGTAATTTACTTAATGGCTCCAGTCCAGATTAGAGCAATCAGTCACGACTGATAGGACGTCTGTTAAGGGGGAGGGAGATAGGATGGGGGGGGGGGGGGGGGTCCTAACAGGAGGAAGAAGAAGACATGATGGTTCATCAAACCCCTAACCTCTGACAACCTCTGATTCTTGAGTCTCAGAGGAGCAGGATAAAATCAGGATTATATCAGATATTAGATTAGGATTACAAAAGATAGTAGATTAGGATTTGATCAAATATTAGATCAGATATTAGATTAGGATTAAATCAGATATTAGATTAGATATTAGGTCAAGATAAAATTTGATATAAAATCAAGGTTAGGTCAGGATTAAATCAGATATTAAATCATGATTAGATCAGATATGAGATTAGTTATTTGATTTGGATTAGATCGGATATAAATTCAGATATTAGATCAGGATAAAATATGATATCTGATCAAATAACTGATCAGGGTTATATCAGATATTAGTAACATATAACATTCAACCTAGTCAGGTTATTGATCCCTGTGGTAATACAGGTTACTGATCCCTGTATCAGTCAGGTTATTAATACCATGTATCTTTTAGGTTACTGATTCCTTCATTATTACCTGCCAGATTACTGATCCCTGAATTATTATCTGTCAGTTGATTGATTTCCATTTCTGTCAGGTTATTGATCCTTGTATCAGTCAGGTTAATGATCCCTGTATTAGTCAGGATATTGATCCATGTATCTGTCAGGTTATTGATTCCTTTATTATTACCTGTCAGGTTATTGATCCATTTATATCTGTCAGTTGATTGATTTCCTTTTTCATGAGGTTATTGATCCCTGTATTTATTGCGTTATTGATTTCTGTATCTGTCATCCTATTGACTCGGTGATGGATTATCTGAAGGGCAGTTGTGTCTTTGACCGAGAAATGATGGAGTGGTTGGAGTCCAGCTGCAGACGCTTCGCCCTGACAGATATTTGCAATGTAATGACCTGTGAGAGCTAACAAATGTAAATGTTTTTTGTTTTTTTTCTTACATTTTTACTGTCCTCAAAACAAATGCTCATTAGGCTTTTATGAGGGATTGTGTGAATAATAAATAGGTCCTAATTACCTCCTATTACAAACGCAAATGGCTGAATTATAAGCAGCGGGTTGTAAAACAAAAGAGCTTCTGTCCCTGCTTAATATTATGTGTACACTTACTGAGTTATTGAGTGATTAATGCTTTAAATTAATTTTATGTGTTTATTCTCTGACTGCTAATGTTTCCACTGACAGATCTTTAATCCCCACTGATGTCTTTACAGCTGTTTTTTCTTTTTTCTTATTGTTCTTAAATGTTGCTGCAGTTTAATCAGCCAGCCCTAAGATGATTATTAAGCATTTGTTATCGATCTGACCTTTCACCTCTGCGATGATCGAGAAACAAACACATTTATTTGATGATTCTCAGCACATTAAAATGCAGATAATTGTGCAGTTATTTAAGAAAGAAAGCTTTATGATTTTCAGAGTCAGCCTGTCTGACATAAAGCTCTCTGATTTGCATATTGTCCTGCAGGAAACATACAAACAGCATTAAGCAGCTTTCTGAGGACGGAGGCTTTCAAACAATGGCACTTAGTCAAATGGCTCCATCCTGCTTGGAGTGAATTTGTCACCTAAATCAGAGGATAACCTATATTTTAGCCTCTAATCTCAGCTAAAGCATGCCAGATGCCTTCACAGAGGCGCTCCATTGTTCAGACTGAGAGCTTATCCATGTTTCACAATTGACTTATGAGTCTGACCATTAGACCTCAGCTTGCACTCGTTCGGTCTGCAGGGTCTCTGCTGCATGAGTTAATGAACACACAGTGTCTGCTGAGGGCCAAATGTAACCAAAATGTTAATGTCACCAAAGAACACACACACTTGTGTGCATGAAGCTGTGCTGTAAAGAGGCACTGCGCCTGCTTACTCAGACCTGAACACAGAAGATCACGTCTTTACAGCAGCTGCAGACTTTAGCTCTTTTTACATTGCCTGTTCACAAGGGATTTTTCTTTTCTATGAGTCTTCATTGATAAACTGGTGGGCCATGAGAAATTTCAGTGGTAGATTCAAGGGTCACCACTTTGGGTGGGAAAATTCAGAGACTCCCAGAGTCATAAAAAAGCTCTGCTGACAGTCAGCGACTTTTTCCTAAGAGGAAGATTTAAAATAAGGATGGTCTGCAAACCTGCTGCTCCTCATCCTTTTATAAATAAATGTTTTCATTATTATTATTGTTATTATTATTATTATCCTGCTGGAATAAAAGTCTGCACACAAATACCACATCAGCATGTAAAAAAGGGACCAACTGCGTAAATAACTACAAGCCACAAAATCTGATTTTCTACTATGTCATAAACCACAGTCAGTGAAATCAGAGTGATCCAGAGAAATAACAGAAGCAGAAACTAGAGTCCAACTTCTTTCAGTGACTGATTGTTCTCTAACTCTGATGAAGAGGACTTCCTCTGTAAAATCTCAGATTTTGAGGTGATGAACATGGAAAAGCTTCAGATAAGATATTTTTACACAACAGAAAGCTCCTCCACCACTTAAACTCATCAGCAGGATTACTGAGAAAGGTAGCTCTCATTTCTGTTATTGAGTGTGTGTGTTTGCGGGTGTGTGTTGATTAAAGCTTATCCATTAGATGGATTATGATGAATGCTGCTTCCAAATATCATTGTACTGTCACACTCTGACACTCATGTACAGCAGAGTTGTATTCATGTAATGGACAGGATGTCAGGCTGCAGTATTTTTGAAAACTGCATGGGTGCTAGTGAGTCTATTGTTCCTATCCCTATTCATAACCTGTAAACATCACATTTTTCAATAGGTGTGCAAACTCCCATGAGTCTTTGAGCATGTTAAATCTTCAAAATGGTGACAAAGGTAAGAATATCAAAATAAATAAATGATTATAATAGTAAAGGGATCCCACTAAGGTCCTTGACCCTCTTGTGGTTGGACCCCAGACTACTGGAGGAGGAGCAGAAGGCTGTGAAAGGAGGAGCTGAGAAGCTGCAGGGTTTCCTCTCTCTGCCTCTGCTTTGCTGCTGCATTTACTTCCATGTTTCAGTGCTGTGCCCAGATTTTGGACTCCATCACCTCCAACCAGCTTCCACTTGCAGGCTCAGACCACTGGTGAGAATACTGTCTTATCACCGTTCAGAATTGCAAGTAAAAACTCTTAGGAGTGATGAGGCCGCACTCTGATGATGTGCTTGTGCAGCAGAAAACTGTGAAAATGCAAAAAACTTAGCGTGTGACATTTTTAACCTCATCGACAGGTCTAACTTTATTTCAGAGCATTAATATAAATTAATCATATACATATGATACATTTATAGATTATATTACATTACATTATATATTATCATATATCATGTACATATGATCATGTATCATTTATATGATCACGTATTTCTTCTATATATTTGCAGAGCTTTCTTGAAGCTTTGGTTAAACAAAGGAGAGATAAAGAGAATATTCCTACCTGCAGTGACACCTTCAGTGACTTTTTCAACAGAACTAAGTCTTGAGATGATGACTGGTTACCTTTTGTTGCTCAGGTCAAACACCCAGAGCCCTGCAGGTAGACTAAACCCCTGACCGCAGATGTACCCCCACCCCCCACCCGTCTCCTCCTCTCCGTGCAGAGACCTTCTGCAGCCTCATTCTCTGATCACTGGCCTGATTAATAGGAGACCGAATTGGAAATTTAATTGGATGTTGTTACAATTATAAAGGCCTGGTCTCCCTAGAGCTGTGACTCTGACTGTCTGTAGGCACCGAGGGGGAAACAAGATATCAGCAGGAAGAACATGTTCTGTCACATATTGCGCCCCAAGATTCCCCCAATACAGGGGGAGGGTGAGGTGTGTAAGATCACCGTCCAAAGGGGAGCTGTTTAAACAGAAGAAACTGCTGCTGAACACAGATAATAGTTTAGTAAATAATAATAATAATAATAATAATAATAATAATAATAATAATAATAATAATAATAATAATAATAATTATTATTATTATTATTATTATTATTATTATTATTATTATTATTATTATATTATGTAAAAATTATAATGACATAATAGTTATTATTATTATTATTATTATTATTATTTTAACTTTCATTACTATTATTTTCCTAATCATCATTGGATTATTAATATAAATGATAAAATAATAATAATGCTGAGATGTTGTTAATTTTATATATTGCAGAAACTATGCTGCTGCGCTCTTGGCAAAGTCTCCCTTGTAAAAGAGATTCGTAATCTCAGTGGGACTACCCTGGTTGAATAAAGGCTAAAATTAATAAATAAAAATGAGAATAATGATAAAAATGATTTAAATAAATAAATAAATGAATGAATAAATAAATAAATAAATGATAATAATAATAAAAATAATAATAAATTAATTCTTAAATTTATCAATTTAGACCTTATAATGAGAATACTGTTATCATTTCAAAGCTGTTTATTGTATTCTATTCAATCCATTTTTTAAAATGTTTTTTTATCTCTTCTGCTTATCTTAGTTCTTGTTACCTTTGCACATTTGTGATCTTTAACCACCTGAGCTGCTGTTGAGTCAAAGGTCATAGTCAAAGTCTCCAGAGACTGAAGAAGTGCAGTTTTTGCAGAAACATTCTTTTTTGTATTTCCATGCAATGCAAAAAACTTAATTTTATACATGTTTTGGTCTTATTTTTTGTCTTAATTTTCTTAGTCTAATGAGGCTGTATTTTAACCAATTCAGCTGACAAATTAAGGTAAATCCAGACTTTGTGTTTGTAATGACCACAAAAAAATATCCAAAAATGAAATAAGAAAAAAAAAAGACTTCAGAAGATTCTTATGTTGAGCACTAAGCATCAGCAGTTTCATTTTTATTCAGTCCTTATTGCTGGCTGATAGTTGAGACATGTTTCTGGATTTTTCATGTGAATTGAGTTTTGATTTGACCTTATTTTTTAAAGAATAGATCAAAACACTGGCTTAGACGAGTTATTGTTACATCGTACATCTGTTTGTGATCCCATGAACTCTTTTACATAGTCCAGTTGAATTTTGATAAACTATGAGTTACTTTTAGTTGCCCCAGTGTTTAAGAACCTTTATTAAACATGTATTAAGTGTTAAATTGATCCTGCTCTCAGCTGATTTCATGCTTATGTCTGTCCTCTGCACACATGCATGCTCTCCTCCTCCTCCTCTCTGTCTCTGATAATATTTGATCCACCCTCTCCTGTTTTCCACCTGATAAACCTCTTTTCTGCAGCTGCAGCCCCTGCAGGCCTCAGGAGGCAAACAGAACCCTCTTTTGGTGGAAGTGGGTACTGCAGCTCAGTCAGATGTCATCGGAGAAATGAAAAGGTCTCTGTCGCAACCCAGAGATCCCTCACTCCTCCCAGCTCTGTCTGCGTGCTTAGGGTCCAGTTTAGGTTATAATCCCTGACATATGTAAGATCTGTGTCATGCTTTTATTTCCTCCATAAGCTAAAAATCTTCCAGAGGATGAGTGTGAAGCGTCCCTCTGTTCTAAGCTGCTTTCAGTCTGCAGCAGCAGCTGACAAATGAAAATGGAACACTTATTAGATTGAGGCCAAGAAGCAGGATTGTGTTTTATTGTCTGTGTTTGGACAGACCTCTCAAAGTACTCAGACAATATCAGGACTCTGGGGGTGAAAGCTGCCCCCACTCTTTTAGGTTTTTCAGGAAGACAGTAGATCCAAGTCTTTCTAGCAGGCTGATTCTATGTTTCAAAGTCGGTCCTCCTGTGTTATTTTCTGGCGGTCAGAGGATGGAGTCAGTGAGTCTGCCAAGTAACTGATTTGGTGACCTTTGTTCTCTCTGCCTCAGTTTTATTTATTTACTTATTTATTTTATTTTATTTATTTATTTTATTCTTTGAGTGTAACAACATCTCTGTGTCCTGCTGTTGAGACCCATGTGAGAGCTGCATGGTGCAAATGTTAAGATGCAGTAAATAGATCTAAAGATGTTCCTAACAGAAAACTGAAGAGTCAAAGTGAAAGCCCAGGGGCCTTATGTATCAATACTTGCGTGGAACTCATACCAGAAACGAGCGCACGCAAGGTCCGTCACGCTGAAAAAAATCCGTATGTATCAATGTGTGCGGGCGCCGAAATCCACGTGTGTTTCCTTGATAAATCCCAATCAGCGTGGAATTGAGCGCAGATGTCGGAGTGACTGGGCCCATCCCCGTTACGCCCTCCTATAAATATGCAGATTTATTTAAATAGGGTCTCCCTGTCCTCGCACGCAGACAAAATGATAAGAAAAACTAAATTTACGGCATGCGAGGTGGAGGTGCTGGTGGCAGAGGTGGAGGAGCGACAGTGTGTTTTGTTTGGCAGCCTGTCCAGTGGCGTCAGTGCAAAACAAAAACGCTTGGAGTGGGAGAAAGTTTGCGAGAGGGTGAATGCGGTGGGTTCCGAGACACGCACCCCCGTGGAGATTAAAAAAAAGTGGTCGGACCTCAAGGTGGAGGTCAAGCGGCGTACAGCTGCCCTCCGGAGGAGTACTGGCCAGACAGGTGGGGTTCTGGGGGAGGAGACCCTCACACCGTTTGAGCAGTGGGTGGTGGCGATTATTATTATAGGGTAAGTGGCGTGTCACACAAATGTCCACATGCTTTGTCATCCCACTGAGCAAAAGACATATATTAGACGTCTAGTCTAAGTTTATACTTCATTTCTACGGCAGGATTCAGTCTATTTTTAGACGTGATTTATACTACGCCCTTAACTTCATTTTTCGATAACTTTTTATGCAATAAACAACTGTAATGTGCATAACTGACCTCTAAATACTGGATTACATTACCTATGATACCGTGGAGAGAGATGTAAATGCAACAGATACACAGAAGCAGGAATTGAAATGAACAAATATTTTTATTGTGTCACAGAAATCAATGTGTCGGCCGTGTCGCCGGCTTGTGGAACCGCGGCCCGCGGCAGCCCGTCCGCCGGCTCGGAGTCGTCGGCCAGGACCAGCGGCATTCGGGCCACCCCGGCCCCCGGCCCCAGCACCAGCACCAGCATCAGTACCAGCGCGCCGACAAGCGGTGGAGCGTCCACCAGCCGCGGCGCTTGCGCTGGACCACCCGGACGCAGTGGAAGGGTCCTCGCGGAGGGGGTCCTGCAATCGCAGGAAGAAATCATCAGGGGGCTCATGGGGATCAACGAGCGGCTGGACCGGCTTGTAAATGTCCTCGAGCGTCTGGTGGAGAAAATAAATTAAATTGGCTCATTGAACTGTGTATTCACTTCTTACCCATTCACACTGTGGCGATGAGATTCTCCCGCGCGAGGACGGCGGCCCGGCAGGGATCAGCTCGCATCCCTCCGTCTGCTGCTGGTTCGTCATGTGGGGCGACGTGCTGCTCGGCCACGGGGATGTGGTGCACGCTTGTCACATTGTGAGTCACCAAACACCGCCACACAGCGTCGCCTAAGTGCGAATCACAGTCAACACAAGTATCAGCTCAACGCCAATTTCTACACCACCTCCTTACTTTGCGTTGATTAGCGCTGGAACCGACGCTCGTTTCGCGATGATAAATCTGGACGTGTGCGCTGATTTTGGCGTACGCAAGGTTTTCTTGCGCCGCAAGCGTTGATACATAAGGCCCCTGGTCTGGTCTCACATTCACACACAGAATATCTCCAGCTTTTAAGTCTCAGAAGGGGTCGAAGATCCTCGAGTCAAGACTCAAAATGAACAGACTAGACTCGAGAGAGAGGGAGTGAGATAGGGGGGGGGGGGAGGGGGGGGGGCAGCAGGGCTCAAATATATGTAAGTGTTGGAAAGTCATGTCCCATTTAGGGGCTATCGTTAGATAGGGGAAAGTCAGAGGGAAAGGAGGGGGTAACTCTCTGATAATGAATTAGCACATCCTGCTTATGCTAGCTTCTTTGTAAGGATTTGTATTCAGACATATGTCCTTCAGAGGTTTCTGACCACAGTTTAAAAAGAGACTGGAGACAGATTAGCCTGAGATCCCGAGACAGTCTGAGATTCTGAGATAGTCTGAGATCCTAAAACAGTCTGAGATTCTGAGACTGTCTGAGACTTTGAAGTAGTTTGTCATTGTTTTGAAGTGACATCTTTGCCGTTTGAAAAAGACCTGTTGGCTGCAGGCTGGAGGTCACATTTGAACTGACGCCTTTAAATAATGTAAAAAAAAAAGGTTAGAAAGGTCTGGGTAAGTGTTTCAACGTCAGACCTCTGCAGAGTTTATGCAGCCTCACATCGAAGACTTAGGGCTCTATTTCCGTGTACCCCGGTGAGGCGGCGGAGGGTGGCGGACCCCGCACAGTTGTATTTTCGTCTGGCAGAGCCCGGCGTACAGCCAGTTTGGTATTTTCGTGGACTGAGGCGCACGGAGATCCGCCAAGCTGGGTGTGGTGGCGTGGCAGAGGGAGGTTTTGACAGAATCAGCTGGCGCAGTGACATTTTTGGCTCGCCACCGTTGTATAAAGTGCGCTGAAAGCTCGCCGATTCAAACCTGGTCAGCTTTCAGCGCAGGTGGAGCGCAGCTGGTCTAGTGGTATTTTGGTAGACCGGCGGTGTATCGGCATACGTCACCAATGCCTCACCGGCAGGTTTTCACAGTGTGAGGCACATTTCAGTGCAATAAATAATTATCAACAACTAATAATCTGACTCAGCACATACATTTAGATCTATATAGATATATTCTGATCTATATCTGATCTGATGAGCGCGTTTGGCATGCGTTTGGACACACAACCTGACCAAATCAACACAGCTGAAACCGCATTAAATTAAATTAAATATCTAGTAAATAGACACACATGATGAAGTTAACAAGATATGTAATTTGTCTCCCTCCTTTTCTTTCTTCCTCTTCCTCTTATTTCTCACACAGCCGGACCTGGACATGTCTCTGTGTCCTCTCCCCGTCCTGCTGCAGCTGCTGCTGCTGCGGCGGCTGAACAGGTGATTTGTTTCCGTGATCAGATAAGTTATCTACTTTAAGCCTACATACGAATATTATAATATTCAGTTTTGTGGGCCAAATTTATTTTATGCCAACATCTAGAAAAGAAAGAGCCAGGCCACGGAGCGCGATGCGTCATTACGAACAGATGGTCCCGATTTTAATGCAATTTTTTAAATTTATGTTGTGAACTGTGCGCACAACCCACCTTTGTCACGTGAGGTTTGAATATATGCAACTTAATGTGAGTGTCTTTATTTGTGGAAAGGGATGTTTGTCTTATTAGTGGGTCCAACTTTACACACACCAAATCCATCTGTGCTCATATGAGAGAGTGTGGAGGACGCCTTCTGCAGCGACACTTGTTGAGGAGCTGCCTTCTGTTGCCATCATGTGGCATTGCTGTCTTCAGACATCTCTTAATCTCTTTGACTACTTCACGAAAATAGTAATACGCCTCGCCAGTGGCGGATTTAAAGGCGAGGAGAGGAGCTTATGTTATTGGTCAATACAGGTCTCGGCTGTGTTAAACCCACTCCACACCCTCTCTCCTCCCTCTCTACGACTTAAGCCGCTGGGAGGAGCTGATTTAGGGAGGGGGGATACTTACGCCAGACTGTGCCGCTCACCAAAATACCAAATTGTGCTTGGGAAAGCCTTGATGGCGCGGCGGACCTGACTTACGCCGCGCCTGCGGCACGTCTCCGGCGAGGCACAAAAATAGAGCCCTTAGACTTCTACAGAGTTCATGCAGCCTCCCAGCCTTGAGGACCTCTGCGGCATTTACACAGCCTCACTTTGAGGATCAGTGTGCAGCTGACGGCTGTGGGTGTGTTGTTCTTTGAGATAATGTCACCTTACTATTGAAGGCACATATTGCTCAGTGTGAGAGTGACTGCTTTCAGCCCACACAAACAAAGCAGATGTTGTGAGTGTCAGGGGTTGGCCTGCAAGCTGCAGCGACTGTAATCGACTATTTAAACAGCTGAGAGACACTGATGTCAGCTAAAACACAGATTTACACTCTGACATCCCTCTGCTGCCACCACACACGCCTTACTTTGTGTTCAGCTCACAGGGATGTGCTCTGATATTACCATAATGATTGAATGTATGTGCCCATCACTGTGTTAGCACCCATCTATCACCAGGTCACTACAGGTCAACTCTCCAGTTTAAGTTAAATTTAGATCACAAAAACCAGCCAGGACAGCATATCATTGAAAATGTCTATGAAAACTGTCAAATAGTGGAGGCAAAAATAAGTGGGTTAGTGGATCTGAACTGATGAACTGATTTTAACTGTAAAGGCATGCTAGTGCTGGTTTGCAGCACCTGGACCAACAAGAAATCACCACAGCTCCACAGTTATGATCAGGATCTGTTCTGTTTTCCTGCAAACTGACCTCTCAGAAGATGTAACGGCAGCTTAGGTAGCTGAAAATCAGAAATAAGATGTGCAAAAGTCCAAAAAACTCTTTTGTTTTAATCAAATGTTTCCCTTGCAGTGACAGGTCCAACACTGTCTTTTATTTTGTCCACAAAAGAAAAGGATTTAAGGACTTTAAAGGTCCATCAGAGCCACGGAACTCCTTTCACATCAATGTGGATGGATAACTTACTCAAAGCCGGTTTCATTTCCATGAGCATCCCACCGCAGCCTTTGTTGCTGCTGTAACAAAGATGGCAGTAGCTTCCATCAAGCTGAATGACAGAACTGCATGGCATTGGAGTGAGGCGTACAGGCAGGGTGGGATGAAGAGCCTTGGGGGGTTACAGTCAGTTTGTCAGAGAAACTCTACAGCCACCAGAGCGCCAGCCTGCTTCACTTTGAATTCCTGGTCTCGCCGCATGAAATCCCCCTTCCTAAAACAGCCCCCTTTGTCACCTGCTCCACTTTGACCCGTCCTGCCTGCCTGGAGAGAGACGATAGTTACTCTGGCTGTAAGTTAAATATTTAATTCCCTTCTTATTCTTTCAAATAGGACAAAGAAGGAGGAGGAGACCAAGTGATGTGATTGTGGTGGATTTGAAGGATGGGATTACAGCAGAAGAAGAGGAAAGGACAAGAGACTGTAAGTAGGCCAATCTGTGTCAGGTACACTTAAGGCGTTGAGCTTAACAGATATGTCAGCACGGCTAAATGTGGGGCTGTCACCTCCCAAAACCAAAGGGTTAAAGACAAGGTCTAAAAACCTGATACTGGTATCACATAAAAAAAGAGAGAGAACAGCAGGGGAAAGAGAGACCAAAGGTCCGTTTCACGTAGGTGGTTCAACAAACTCTGAGTCAAATCCTTAACTCTGAGTTGATCTACTCTGAAATAGGAAACTCTGAGTTTCCGGTTTCACAACACCTGATTTGAGTCAGTTTTAGCAACTCCGAGTAGTTTGACCTGGAGTTAAGCATGTGCACGCCAGACATAAACAGCCAGCATCTGTGGTGCCCAGATTCATTGATCAACCAATGGAAACAGGGAGAAGGAGGTGGCAGCAGCAAGCCAACAGCGAATTACAGCACGTTTTTAAAAGAAAGTGCAATACAGTAGCAGCTGCAAAGGAGAGGGAGAGGGCATGGGAGGAAGTTGCTGCTCGCGTCAATGCGTAACTTTAAATCTAGTCTTGTGCAATCACAATGACAGACTGTTGCAGGGGAAACTGCGTGCATGGAGCAAATTAATTTATTTTATGTAGGTGCAATCCAGCGGGACAAAAGCGCACTTGGCAGCAGCTGAAAATTAAATATAAAACATTGTGCAAACAGGTGAGACATCGGCATTTTCTTATTTGATCATGTTTTAAATTGTCAAGTAAGTATTAAGTGGCAGTTTGATCCCTTAAAAAAATGCTCTTTTCACACTCAAAAATGAATTTTACTCTCTTATATTCCATTAAGAAAGAAGGCAGATGCCAGAAAAACGGGTTTAAAACGGAGGTAGAGTAGCGCCCCCCCGATCGCAAATCCCCCCCCCCCCCCCAATCACACACGCACACACACACACACACACACACACACACACACCGGTCCGACGGTCGCTGCTAGGGGGGGGATTTGCGATCGGACCGGCCGCGATCGTCGAACGGGGGGGGGGGGGGGTCAGCTACTCTGCCGTTAAAGCTGGGGCTGCTGGCCCACCACCCGTTTTTCTGGCATCTGTCCTCTTTCTGTTTGCTGAGTAAAAGTCTGTGTTAGTATAATATTCCTACTCATTTAACGGAACATAATAAGAGAGTAAAATTCATTTTTGAGTGTGAAAAGAGCATTTTGTAAGGGATCAAACTGCCACTTAATACTAACTTGACAATGTAAAGCATGATCAAAATGAGAAAATGCCGATGTCTCACCTGAAACTCTGGGTTTACTGAGTTAAACCTGGTCCCGAGCAGGGGCCTGTTCTACGAAGCAGGATTACTGCTTAGCGAGGTAACTTCGAGGGTAAGTTCGGGGTTTCCTGTTCTACGACGCGGGTTCACGTCTTAGCGAGGCGAGTCTCCATGGCAACATACGCTGAACGGCTAACCTGCTCCGGGGCAGGTTAAGTTCCAGATTGAACTCACCGAGTATAAAAACCCCGCCCACTGACCAATGAGCTCTCTCGAAAAACGGCTTGGCCATTCTCGGAGTATCCTGTAGACCTCGGTGCTCGCATTGTCCGAGGAGGAGCACTCCGGCGCGCGAGAGTTTACAGGGACCGCACGGACCCACTTACTTTTCCGGATGACCACCTTTATGAAAGGCTCATATGGCCGACAAATCACACAAAAAATGTAAACACGATAGGAATGAACATATGAGTGAATTCATCTTGGAAATGAATGGGCATGAGCTGCATGGGCTGCGTGATCACAGACAACATCTCGGTACTATTTAGTAGCAGCGCATGCCCCTTGTAATAACCCCCGTAATACTGTTGTTCAGGACTGCTTACTTGTGCTTCCTACCCACTGTAATAACCGTTGTTCTAGCCCACATGCAACATTTTTGTTCTCATTCATGAAACGCTTTTTTTTCAGGGACAGATTTAGCCGGGGACAGATCATCCAATTCGGGGACTGTCACCTTAGTTAAAAGCGCATGCTGAACAGTGCTTTTTCAGGGTGATAATGGCATCAAAGATGCATTTTCTGCCAGCATTCCCTCCGTACTTTTGCGGCGGCGACGGTGTTGCTTTTGAGGTTTATGGTAGTTTTGAATTCTTCATGCTTTCTCATGATCGTCTCCTGCTCCTCGTTTGTAAAGTACGCAGTCCTTGACTCTCCAGCCTGCTCTGATGCTCCAGACTGATCCATGTTCACGATTGGTCAGATGCGGCAGGCTCCGCCTTATATGTGTGCACGCGCTCATAGCTAAGCTGGATCCACTTATGAGGTTGATAACCAGCGTCGTAAAACCGCTTAGCGAGACCGCTGGCTACCGCGCTAAGTTGAGCGAGGTAGCTCCAAGGCTACCTCGCTAGGTTGAACTTGCTTCGTAGAACAGGCCCCAGGTTAGGTTCACGGAGTCTGTTACTATGGTAACTGACCGCGAGGTTGAGTTACCTCTCTTTGTGAAACAGGTTAGAGTTACCCCTCTCTCCCTGGTTTAACTGACCCTCCTTTGTGAAACGGAAAACTCAGAGTTTCCCTGATTTCAGGGTTAACAGACTCTGAGTTTCCATTAAACCTGCTACGTGAAACGGACCCCAGAAGTAGGAGAGACCAAGAGAGGGAAAAGGGAGACCTGGGGCCTCATTTATAAAACCTGGTGTAGGATCCATACTAAAAGTGTATGTAAGTTGAAAAGCTGAAAAGTGCGTAGGCAAAAAAAAAATCTGATTTATAAAACCCTGCCTACGCACACCTGCACGCACTTTCACTTTATAAATCACAGACCAGCCGGAAAGTTGCGCAGCAGGGATTTGATTCTTCCCCGCCCTCTCCACACCCAAAATTCACCATGTATGGTCATGCAAATTACCTCATGAATGTGATTTGCATATAAATAAGCCTGATGGATCCACGGCATTTCACGCTTAACCATGGCATCACCAAGTCGTAGAAAAAATAACTTTTCAGAGATCGAGGTGGAGGTTCTTGTAATTGAGGTGGCGGCGAGACGGGAGACCTTATTCGGCGGCCATTCGAGTGGCATCACCAATAAAAACACCGTTGCCGTGGCGGTAATTGTGGCTGGCACTGAGCGCAGCGTTGCCGAAACAGTGTTGTTTTCGTCATATTTCGTCAAATATTTTCGTCAACGCCAGCGTCAAAAAAGGGAAATATTTTCGTTGACGAAAATATTTCCCTTTTCTTCCACAACGAAGACGTAACGTTGACGAGCTAAACATAAGTCGGAGATGACTAAAATGTGACAAGACGAAAGTGCGTTTACGTTGATGGGACGAGACGAAAATGACGACCAGAGTTGCAAAACTCAGTCAGTTAAACGCTAAACATATAGGAGCAGCTTCTGTCCGCTCTGACAGCTCTCATCAGCCTGCTGTGTTCCTCCAACACACAGACACACACATGCGCGCACACACATGTGGAGTTTTGTTTTCGTTGACGATGACGTAGACGAAAACAACACTGTGCCGAAATCAAGAAGAAGTGGTCTGATCTAAAGGTGGAGGCAAAGAAAAAAGTGGCTTTGCATCTTCGGAGCGTGGCGGCGACAGGTGAGGATCAGAAAACACAAGCACGTGTGACACTCATGCATGTGTTCCAAAAAAACTGCTCCTTTATCCACCGCTGCTTATGTGGTGAAAGTTCGTAAACCAAAAAGATTTAGTCATATTAATCTTAAAACAAATGCATGTAAATGGAATTTGTTTTTTTGCACATTTGTAAATTCAAATTGGCAAACTATCTACACTGCCACAGTGGGGTCTGTGCTTTCTGCGAGCATCACTGCCTGTTACAGCAGCTGCAGCTTTCAGGACAGAGAGGCCCTGCATCGAGTCATGCGTTGTGCTGAACGCATCACCCGGACTGTTCTCACCTTGCTCCGATTGTCTCCAAAAAGTGCGTAAGCAAGGTGTGGAGTTTGCTTAAAGTTGCGCACATTCCTACACTAGTTTTTCTTTTATAAATCCCAACTCTTGCGTAAGAAGTGGCGTAAGCACTTTCTATCCAGGTTTTGAGCGTAAGCAAGCTTTATAAATGAGGCCCCAGGAGAGTGAGAGACCATGGGCCTCATTTATCAACTGTGCGTAGAAAAGGTTCTAAATTCTGCCGTAGAATTGAAATTTAGAATATGCGTAAGTACAAAAAAATCTGTATTTATCAAACATGCAGACACCGGTTGTACACACTCTAGTAAGTAATCGATGATAATAAATCCCCCCTGTTCTTTACAACCATGCTTGTGCATAGTTAGGGTCATTTGCATTCAGAAATGCCTCCACTGACCATATACAGTATCAACAATCCCTTCAAAAATGCGTGAATGGATTTTTTTCCCCCTCGCTGAAATCATGGAGTTGCACACTCACAGAGCTGTGCTGCAGAATGAATGAGTTGTGTGTTCTTCCAGGCCACGGGGCAACAACGTTTAACAGATACATATGTGCAGCACACATTATTTGTGCATTGATTGAATGAAATCCATTCCTGTTGACATAACTGAATTTTTTTCTGTGATGGTGCTTTTGTTACGATGTGGGTGCAATCTATGGCTGCAATTATGTTTGGGAATCTGGCGATGGCGTAAAATCCTTGTTTTATTTCGGCTTGTTGGTGATGTGTGTATAGGAACTGGATGTAAGTTGAGGCCAGAGAAATTATTGCATCCAACTCTGCCGGCATGATTCTGCTTAGCATTGGCTGCAAAATGCCGTATATGTCTCCAATCTCAGGCTGAAATGTCCCGGTGGCCAAAAATCCCAAGGTGGACAGGAGCTGGATGTGCCCTGGGATGGCTTTGGTGCATTTTGTCTCTCGCTCCAACACGGGTTGTAAGTCATAGCATAAATCCATTAAAATGTTTTTGGGGAAGCGGAAGCTACCTGCTGAGAATCCACTCTGTGTTCTCACTGAACAGATCAGCATGGTCTTTAAAAAGGCGCTCCCTGCAGAGTCCTCCAATAGCACAAAATCTTTTGAGGTTGTTCTGTCACGGATGATTTTTATAGCCTGTCACACCAATCATTCAAAATGTCTGCTAAATAACTAATTGATAAATTTTGTATAGAGGCAGCGGGGAACATGTGTGAAGTTTGAGATTGTTGAATGCTGTGACTCCTTAATGGGTTCTATTTGTAGTTTCACTGTTCTACCACTAGATTTTGTGTGTATGCATGGTCAGAGTTGTGCTTAGTTTTACGCACATTCCTAAGCACAAGTACAGGTTGATAAATTACATACTTTGCATGGGAATGTACGTAGGCACTCACTACGCACACATCTATGCGTATGCATGGTTGATAAATGAGGCCCCAGGAGAGGGAAGTGCGAGACCAGGAGGAGGGAGGGTCCAGAAGGGGGAAGAGATGATAAGGGGAGGGACCAGGAGGAGGGAGGAGGAAGGGGGGACCATCAGATTTAACATTAAATCACCTGTTATATGGGAACCAACATCCAAAAATTCTTCAAAAACATCTTAAAAAAATCTCAGCCCATTTTAATGTGATGTAGCAACAAGTAAATAACATTTTTAGAAGGATAAAAGGCAACACTAACATCAAAAAAACTTTAAAAAACAAACAAACAAAAAAAAAAAACAGACTGACCAGGGTGAAGTGTTTCATGACTGAAAATCTGACACTCTTTAAGAAAACCATGGATGCTAAATTGTCCTATCTAAAGAGTGGCGGGACCACCTGGCTTTTTCTCAGCCCCCAGTCCAAAGCCAGCATCTCTGATGTATGGGAATCATCAGAGTCCATGTCATGGGTATCTTCCACATCTGTGAAGACTTCATGAACGACGACGCCGGTCTGTCGACAGCCAGGCTGAAGAAAGCCCTGGGAAGTGAATTCTTCGCCAGGCCGGTGAAGTAGACGTTGTCTCGGTTGACCTGCGTGGATTGACGGGATTCCGAAGGAGGATTCATGTTCGATAGAACCGGACCTGATGTGAGTATTTGGTACCTTTTATGACACAGATAACAATAGAAAGATTGTAGTGTCATAGTCTGCCAGTGAGTGAGACTGGAGACAGGGAGAGGTCAACCCTTAAGTGACCTGGGGCCTCATTTATAAAGCTTGCTTACGCTCAAAACCTGGCTTGGAAGTGCTTACGCCACTTCTTACGCAAGAGTTGGGATTTATAAAAAAAACTAGTGTAGGAATGTGCGCAACTTTAAGCAAACTCCACACCTTGCTTACGCACCTAGTGGAGACAATTGGAGCATGGTGAGAACAATTGGTTAATGGAAAGCGCATGTATAAAAAGCCATACAGTGACAGTCGTGCGCAATGCAGCACAAGTTTCAAGTTTCAAGTTTTATTTGTCACATGCCTAAATGTACAGGTACAGTAGCAGTGAAATGAATCTGCGATTGTGCCAAAAAACAGAATAGTAGTAAGAAGAACATCAAATAATCTATAGAAAGAGATAAAATAAAAATAGAAATAAGATAAAAATAGAAATAAGATAAATATCCACTCCTATATACATCCTATGTACAATAACCATAAAATAAAAATAAAATTAAAATAATTAGAAATATTGACTCCTATGTACCAAGTAAACAAGGTAACAGAGGTAAACAGGTAAAGTGACCAGTAAGTTATCTTCTGCAGTAAAGTCTGTTCAGAGGATGTTGTGAAGTCAATTATGGGGTGTGTGTTATGAGGGGGTCAGGATCCGAGTGGCCTGGGGGAAGAAGTTCCCTTTCAACCTCTCAGTCCTGGCTCTGATAGAGCGAAGCCTCTTACCCGAGGGCAGCCACTCAAACAGTCTGTGGATGAGATGGTGAGTGTTTGATAATCCGTCTTGCCCTGGACCTGCACCGCTGGGTGTAGATGTCCTGGAGGCCGGGCAGTGCAGTACGGGTGATGCGTTAAGCACAACGGATGACTCGATGCAGGGCCTTTCTGTCCTGAGAGCTGCAGCTGCTGTACCAGGCAGTGATGCTCGCAGAAAGCACAGACCCCACTGTGGCGGTGTAGAAAGTTTGAATTTGAATTTACAAATGTGCAGAAAAACAATTTCCATTTACATGCATTTGTTTTCAGATTAATATGACTAAATCTTTTTGGTTTACAAACTTTCACCACATAAGCAGCGGTGGATAACGGAGCAGTTTTTTTGGAACACATGCATGAGTGTCACATGTGCTTGTGTTTTCTGATCCTCACCTGTCGTCGCCACACTCCGACGGTGCAAAGCCACTTTTTTCTTTGCCTCCACCTTTAGATCAGACCACTTCTTCTTGATTTCGGCAATGCTGTGCTCAGTGCCAGCCACACTTACCGCCACGGTGCAGACGACTGCAGACGGGAAGTAACCGGTATAAAAATAGAGTAGCACTTGGTCTGATGGTATATCGGTGCCGTAGACGGTCTGACAACATTCTGGTGTTGTAGACGGGATTGAATCAGCCTTGATTCGTGTCATGACAAAAAGTGTGAATGAGTGAGTGAATGCTGAGAAATGAATGCTAAGTCTGATTTCTGAAGCAGCAACAGTGACCCGAAACCTACCGGTGTGAACATAAAGTCACTGGCTTGTTGAAGTAGGGAATCAGACCTCTGGATTAAGGCCGTTGTCAAGGACATCTAGTCTGAGGACAACAAACAGTTGACATAATGGGGAACAGTGGTTCTCAACCATAGACTGAATATAAGATGGACAGAGTCTGCCTCCTCGCTGGGTGAAGCCACTCCGAGAACAGCACCCTCTGATGGTGGGCTGCAGTACAGATCATAAATCCCGCCTCTGCCAGCAAAGCTTATGGGACTGTGGACAAACTTTAGAAATTTATTACACAGAACATACATTTTTCTCCCCCCTGCTTGTGATGTTGACATGTAGTTATTGTAAGACTGGTTTGTGCTTAAATCCTTTTTTTTCTGTACAGCTCCATTTTTAAAAGTTATTAGGGGGTTCATGTTTTCTATGATTGACACCTGGTACAGCCTATGGGCGTTCAGGGATTGCGTAGCTCTCCTGGGGGGATACGCTGTTTGAGCCGAGCGTCATCAAAGGGACTCTCGGCGACTGGGAGGCCGAATGCGCACAACGCTACTGCACAGCTCTGGTTTCAAGGAAGTAGAGAAAAACCCGGAATTACCTAGAGCTTTTTGGCTTCAAATCCGTATACAGGTGGAAGGCGGAACCACGTTGTCCATCTTATATACAGTCTATGTTCTCAACCAAATACACTAAGTGGAGGTGTAAAGTATATGGAGTTACGACTCCCAGGTAGTGGGAAATATTTGAAGAAATGGCAGAAAAAGTATAAATGGACAGGGAAATTGAAGGTGACAGAATGTAGAAATCTCGCTAAAATGTTGAGAGCAAAAGCAGAAACGTGTAAGGGAAAGAAAAAGAAAAAGAGTGAAGAGGCAGCAACAGCTGAGTTGTGGGCTAAAGAAGCACTACCCAGACAGGAAGGTATTCAGAAGGGAAAGGCAAGTAGAACTGATGTGTATGCAGTAAGTCGAAAAGAGGATGATGAAGGTGTAATGGGGAGAAGTCGAAATGGAGGTGATAGGCAAGAACTAGAGGAGGAAGTACAAGGAGTAGCACGGGGTCATGTAAATGAACCAAGGAGAAGAGGGAGACCATCAAAAATAGGTCAAGGAGATAGGAAGAGGGGAGATCCAGAGCCACCCCGCTGTAAAGAAACAGGGAAATTGTACCCTGATTTAACTAAGATTTCTAAACCACAGACAAGTAGCGTAACCAGGCGACCACTAAATGAGCAGTATGAATCGGACACAGAAAATGACTCAGACTCAAATTCCCTGAAACAATACCCTGATCAGCCACCACTAAAATTAACAGCTCAAACATATCCAATGATACAAGTACCAAATCCTGCTAGAGGAGGAGATGGCCAACCTAATGACCTGTTGGTGTACAGACCCTGGACAGCCACTGAATGCCAGGGAGCTGTAGACATGTTGCCCTCATACAAAGAAGATGTGGACAAATGGTGCGCAGATTTCAGACAGCTGGTGAATTCGTATCACTTAAATGGATACGAAACAGGCCAAGCGCTCCAAGCAGCGCTGAAACTAGATTGGGGAAGAGTCAGAGGAAATTTCACAGGACATAATGGAGCAAATCCACCTGTGGTGCTGGAACAAGGTTCTGAAGTACTAACACAACAAATAGACGGAGTGTTATAGAGAATGACACAGGTCTTTGCAAGACGAGCAGATTACAGAAAATCAGGTGCAGTAAAACAAAAAGATGACGCGACTGTGGATGATTTTAAAGTCAGATTTGAGAAAGAGTTCAGAGTCCTAAGCGGACTGCAATATGCAGAAGATGATAACGGTCCATATCAACAACAGCTAAAGAACACACTGTTGACTAACATGCTACCTGGAGTAGCTCACTGGGTTTGTAAACATTATGTAGATTTGAGTACAGCTTCAGCAACCCAAATGATGAACTGGGCACGACATGCCAAGAAAGTAATAAAAACAAAGAAAAATGAAGGAAAAAATAAAACGGCTGTGTTTTGGGTAGAAGAAGAAACAGGAACTTTCTACCAGGGATCCTATCAACCCAGAGGACGTGGGCACGGCCGAGGTCACTACTCCGGATGGGGAGGGAGGGGTCCCAGTAGATCTAGACAGTCAGAACCAGGAAAAGATTATCTTTGTTGGCGATGCGGGAAACAGGGACATTATTCTCGAGACTGCTGAATGAGAGAGCAGGAAGGTCCTGGGGGAACTGAGACTCCCCCACATCAGGGGGCCCCCTCCGTCAGCACCCCCCTCAAAACGAACCTGTTCCTCATGACTGATACTCAGCATGACTTCAAAAAGAGGAAGTGTGCAGAGAATTTTTAGACTGTGCTTCCTCATGTAATGCCTTAGCACTATTAGAAGAAAAAACAGAAGTAGATCTGTGTCTAAATGGCAGGGAATTTCAGGGAAACTTGTGACTTTATTTTCATAAATTAATGACTTTATTTGTGTAAATTCACGACTTAAATCTCAAAGTCTTTAAAAAAAATTCTCAATATGGCCCTCATACTCCTTCATACAAAACAATTATTGGATGAATGGTATGTATCTACTATTTTGTGTCTGTGCAAGGTCGCACAATGAAAAAATAAATGCTGCGTTCCGCAGGTTTTCTTTATTTCAGTTGTGACGCAAGCCTGAGGGCGGGGACATTTGGCGACTCCACCAGGAAGTCCTCCGAAGGTCTCCAAACTTCCCCGCCCTCAGGCTTACGTCACGACTGACTAGAAAAAAAGCTGCGGAGCGCAGCATTGATTGTTTTAATTGTGCAACCTTGCACAGACACAAATAGTAGATACATACAAGCACAGATCATTCCCACAAAATTCATCCAATGATTGTTTTGTATGAAGGAGTATGAGGGCCATATTGAGAATTTTCTTTAAAGACTTCGAGATTTAAGTCGTGAATTTATGAGAATAAAGTCATTAATTTATGAGAATAAAGTCGTAACCTGTTATTTCCGAGGAGACTTGTTAAAATTAGGGCCACAAAGCATTTGAAGGAACTGTGCTTCTGTATAGGTTTCACAAAAAAAGGAGATACTTCATCCTTTGGCACATCAGCATCACATTGTCATAAGTATAAAGACTTAAAAAAAGAATATGAGAAATATGTCTTTTCCACAGGAAAAAACTGGTGGACTTGAAGGAAATCGCTGCTTTTGTGGAGGCAGAAATGGATATGCAGAGGATATATCTGTCAATGCAGCTGTAAATATCCGTGAATGACATTGAGCTTTAGTTTATGATATGAATCCATATGCCATAATAAGGTGTTGGTGTCTCTGCAGGTGTAGACTACCGCCGGTGTCAGAGACGTGGTGCTCGTCGGAGCTCAACTCCCTCTGGATCACAAATGTTGATTATCATCAGTTGGATTGTTTCTTCAGAAACCACAAAATCTCTCTGAATGACCCGCTGATACATCCACAGATAACCCTGCAGATGACCAGCTTCAGTCATTTCCCCCTCCACAAAAGCAGCTTTATGACTTTATTTACTTCATGACTTTATTCTCCTAAATTTACAACTTTAATCTCTAAATCTTAAAAGAAAAACACTCAATGTTGTCCTAATACTCTGCTGTAGTTTTGTCAGCTTTCTTATTTCTAATGTTTTTGATAGTTGAAGCAGAGCGGATCAGTTGTCTCTGAATCTATAATGTTTGGTTTGCAGATTTTAGTGAGTTCAGAGATCATGTGCTCATACAGCCTGAACTGACTGTCTGCTGTGTTTGGATTTCTTGTATTTTCTTTGAAGACGCACTGCGTCTCCAAGCGAATCCAGGCTCTCACCTGAAATGCGCAGCTGTGCAGCGACACGCAAAGAATTCTGGGATATCAACGGCACAAAAGCATGCATAAATGCACGCTTGAAAAATGCTAAGCGCGCTTAGCATTTCTTAGCATTTCATGCCAAATGGGACACCGTTCAAATGCGCCATTATGTGCCGTTTGACGGTGCGGTCTCTGAAATGGGACACAGCCTCAGTATTACTCTCTGAAGCAGAGGAGAAGCTCTTAGAGACTCTGCCGAGCAGTCTGTGGACAACAGGTCCCACAGATGTTGGGTTGATAAAAACCAGCAATCCCGTACAAATCAAGCCGAGAACAGAATGGAGGCTCAGAATTAGGCAATATCCCCTAAAACCAGATGCCATTGAAGGTTTTAGACCAGTGATAGCAGATTTACTAAAAGTAGGGGGAACTCCGAGAATGTCCTACACCAATTTTCCCAGTCAGAAAAGCTAATAGCACGGAATGGAGAATGGTGCAAGATCAAAGAGCAGTAAATGATGCAATACAATCCAGGGCACCATTAGTGCCAGATCCTCATACTCTTTTGAATTCTCTAAAACCAGAGAATAAATATTTCACTGTGATAGATCTTAGCAATGCATTCTTCTCCATTCCTATTCATCCAGATTCACAGTTTTGGTTCACCTTCACATTTGAAGGTAAAGCCTATACCTACACACGACTCCCGCAGGGATTCTGTGATAGCCCTACAATTTTCTCTCAAGCCATAACTAGCTGTTTAGCTGCATTCAAAGCCCCACGGGGAAGTCAGATACTTATTTATGTAGATGACATTTTGCTGGCCTCCCCCTCAAAAGAAGCATGTGAGGAGGATTCAGTGGCACTTCTTCAGTTCTTACATAAAACAGGAAGCAAAGTAAAAAAGCAGAAGTTACAATGGGTCAAGACAAAATTTCAGTATCTGGGGCACACTCTTAGTGAAAAGGGAAAGTCTGTCCAGATAAAGAGGAAACAGGCCATTCTACAAGCACCTAAACCTCAAGTAAAACAACAGATGATGGCTTTCTTGGGGTTGTGCAACTACTGGCATGCATGGATTCCTTCTTATGCTGAGAAGACACAGCCATTATTAGATCTACAGTGTTATTAATGCCAGACTACAGTAAACCCTTTGTGCAAACCGTAGATTGTAAAAACGGGTTTATGACATCTGTACTGCTACAGAAACATGGAGGAAAGATGAAACCTTTAGCTTTCTACTCAAAAAGATTAGACCCAGTAGCGGCTTCACTTCCACCATGTGTACAATCTGTATGTGCAGCTGCACTGGCTGTAGAAAGTTCTGCAGATGTTGTATTATTCGACGAAACCACTCTGTTGGTTCCGCATGCTGAAGATATGCTTTTATTGCAGACAAAAATGAATTCTGTCCTGTACCGCGTTATTGTCATCTCAGCCACATATCACTGTAAAAAGATGCACCACACTGAATCCAGCCACACTCCTACCCACAGAAGACGATGGGTACCCACATGACTGTGTCTAGCAAGCTGAAGAGGTACACTTACCTAGACCAGACTTAAAAGACACAGCTTTAACAGAAGGATTGACATATTATGTGGACGGATCCTGTTTTAAAACATATAAAGGACAGACATGTACAGGATATGAAGTTGTAGATGATACAAGTGCCATTGAAGCTAAAAAGTTACCAGGACATTTCTCTGCACAAGCTACAGAACTCATTGCACTCACCAGAGCTTGTATATTAGCAAAAGACAAATCATTAAGTGTGTATACTGATAGCCAATATGCTTTTTCAAGTACCGTATTTTCCGCACTATAAGGCGCACCGAAAAACCTCCGGTGCGCCTTATATATGGACCAATATTGAGCCACAACAGGTCTCGCAACTACGGTAAGCAGCCGCCGACTTCATTTTCCCCCGTAGAAGAAGAAGCGCGCTGTGCATGCTGGGATATATGACTGCGCGCGGCGTGCCGTTTCATTTCCATTTGTGTGTTTATGTAAAGACCCCAAAATGGCTCCTATTAAGAGACACGCTTACGACGCAGAGTTTAAACTCAAGGCGATCAGTCACGCAGTAGAACACGGGAATAGAGCAGCAGCGAGAGAATTTAACATTAACGAATCATTCCCTTTAGCGCAGCCTCATTTAATGGATGCATAACGTAACCCCAGCCTCTACTGTAGCGTCTATTCTATGCGCCTTATAATGCGATGCGCCTTATATATGAACAAAGTTTTAAAATAGGCCATTCATTGAAGGTGCACCTTATAATCCGGTGCGCCTTATAGTGCGGAAAATATATACATATATAATATATATATTCTATTTTGCAAAACATTGGGAGCGAAGAGGTATGGAGACAACCACAGGCAGAAATATCACCCATGCTGCACTGTTAAAAGATCTATTGTAAGCAGTTTCACTTCCCTTAAAATTAGGTATTTGTAAATGTGCGGCCCACACGAAAGGTCAGGATACGGTTTCTTAGGGGAACCGTAGAGCTGACAAAGCAGCCAAAGTGGCAGCACAGGGTCAGTATGGTGAAAGTACAGTTTATCTAGTGAAAAACAACATGTATATAGACTCAGAGGTGTTACAAGACATGCAGAATAGTGCACCTCAGACAGAGAAAAAGGACTGGACTGATAATGGAGCTGTAAGAAATAATGATACCATTTATGTTGTAAATGATAAACCAGTTCTACCAAGAAGTTTGTTTAAAACAGCAGCAATTTTGAGCCATGGGCCCTGCCATGTCTCAACAGGAGGGATGGTAGAAATAATAAACAAACACTTTACAACATATGGTTTCACAACTTACTCAAAAAATTTTTGCAGAGCATGTACTATATGTATTAAGCATAATCCTGAGGGAAATATCAGACCTAAGAGGGAAAGATTTCCTGCACCAGAGTATCCATTTCAATGTGTACACATGGATTTTATAGAACTTAACAGAAGCGGAGAATATAAATACTGTTTAGTATTAGTGGATGCTTTTTCTAAATGGGTTGAAATAGTGCCAGCAAAAACTGCAGATGCACTAACTGTAGCTAAAGCACTATGCAAAACAATAATTCCACAACATGGAATTCCACAGACATTATACAGTGACAACGGACCACATTTTGTAAATAAAGTAATTGAGACTGTGGCCCAGAACATGCAGATAAGACTGAAAAATCATTGTGCCTACCACCCTCAGAGTGCACGGTTAGTAGAACAAACAAATGGTACTGTCAAGAATAGACTAAAGAAGTGTATGGAACACACAAACAGGCCGTGGCCAGACTGCTTAGATCTTGTGAAACTTTACATGAGAATAACACCAACTGATAAAGGATTAACTCCTTTTGAAATCCTTTATGGAAGATCTTTTCGACTGCCACTTGTAAATAACTCTGTTGCTATATCACATGAAGAGCATACTTTATGTGATTATATGTCTAACATGTTAAAAGAAAAAGAAATTGTCAAAGCAAAAACACTGCCAGTCTCTGATTTGTCATTACAGGAGCAGAAAGTGACGGTTGGAGACTAGGTGCTCATCAAAGTGATAAAAAGAAAGACGTGGTCCAGCCCCCGGTGGGAAGGCCCCTATCAAGTCCTACTGACAACTCCCACGGCTGTGAAAATAGCAGAACGCCCTTCCTGGATTCATCTCAGCCACTGCAAAGTACAGCGCGTGCTTGACGGTTCAACTGAGTAGTGGGGAAGTCTGACTACAAAGGGGATTCACCTTTTAGTGGTGTTTCGTCTCAATGTCAGTGAAGCAATCAAGGATCCCTACTCAATAGGAGTCTGATAGACGTGGACAATATGGCAGACGGTGAGGAAGGATCAAGACAACAATCCAGGAGGCAGCGTCGGTGTACGGAGGTATGCTGTGGATTCATGCTGGTAGCGCTGATTCTTTTTGGACTCCTGGTATGGTGGCTTCTACAGGATGTTCCTCAACAACGAGAGAGAGAAGCGAGCACCATGTTGATGTAAGCCTGGAGACACACGTAACCAACATGTGGTATAGATTGGCCAATGCCACAGCAAAAGCATACGACGAGACAGATTGCTAAGTGTGTTCTTATGTTCCACATCATTCAGACAGTAATCCATTCCTGACACTTATTCCAATGGGAGAACATGAACTAGTTTGCCTGATGAGTTTCCAAGGGCATATGCGACAATGGGTTGGGAAAGCTAACGAGGCTCCAAGGTACTTTTTCAAGAATACCAACTGTGGTAAATTCCAAATACCAAGCTTCGAGACATGGTTACATCCATGTAACTTCTCAGGAAAAACCAACTCCACGTTGACCAGAGGAATTGTCCCAGCTTGTAATGACTTACAAACTGCAGCATGCATTGCTAGAACCTGCAAAACCGGACATGACCGATTCTTAGGAGGAACTACCAATTGTGAATGGATAGACACCTCCTACAATGCCAAAGAGAAGACGTGTGAAATCCAAGGTAAATGGTATAACACGTACACAAATGGCTGTCAGCCAGAACCGAAGACAGAGTTTAACATCACCAGCTCTACATCAAAGAAGGAACACTTCCTAAGTCTTATGATCGGTTCCTTTGTGGAGATTCCGACAGCAGAGGAGATGATGATTCGTGGATCAAGCACACCCCCCTCCATGGTTTGGCTCTGTGGACACAAAATCTACAGGTTCCTTCTGGACAGATGGTGTGGATCCTGTACTCTGTGCAGACTGGCACCTGCAGCTTTTGTCATACCGGCTAAGAACATCACCGCCCACCACAGGAGCAGACTACAGAAACAAGAGGTTGAGGAGAAAAAAACCACCTCTCATATCTTACTTAAGAGGAACAATCATGACCATCTTTCCACACTATGGTGTGGCATTCTTGGGACATTGCATGAACGTCCTCTACTGGGACTTGGATAACCTTACCTCCATGGTGTTGCAACTAGCAAAAACCTTAGCCAATGACAAGGAGAAGGCTGCAATGTGAGCCATTATAATGCAGAAGTGCATGGCCTTAGACTTACTATTACCTGAACGAGGAGGGACTTGTGCTGTTGTCGGAGATCACTGTTGCACTTACCTTAGAACTATACTGCTATAGTCCATGGGTTACAAGAACTGAAGGACCAGTTGAGTACACAAGCCGACCTTGGGACAATGATTTTAATCCCCTTCAGTGGTTCACAACTGGTCCTTGGTGGCAAATGCTTTTGAAAATATTGACCCCAGTAATTGTGATTCTATTACTGTTCTGTCTATTTACTACTTGTGTGTTACTGTTGATTCGATCCATGATTAACAAGGCCGTTGCAGGTACAGTATTGGAAGTATATGCCCACATGCTAACAATTTCACAGGAATACAAAGAATTAATCCAAGACGATGAGGACGAAGATACCATTGTTTAGACACTTGAGGATGAGCCTACTGAAATTGTGTTAAACGGATGGTAACGCTTTGATGTATTTGTGATCTCAAGAATGATAAACAGGAGGGAAATGTTAGACTTTTGTGCCATGCATTGTGCAAGGGACATGAAATGCTTATGTTCCTCATTGTGTAAGAGTAACAAAACTATTGCAAAGTTGACAGTTGCAGAAGTTTGCAGAAGTGAATGACTATGCATAATCATGAAATAAAAGATGCCCTTGTGGAAGAACTGGTCAGAGAGGGCCTGACTGAGAACTCGAGCAGTTCTCCTCAGCCGTTCTTTCCTTGTGCAAGTGAAACCCCTTTGGTCTCTTCTGTGTTCTTGAATCCTCCTAATAGTTAAGTATATCCACCTGAACCTGACAATTGCCTTGTCTAAGGTCCTCCTACCATAGAGGTCACTGACAAAGGTAATCACTCCATTAGGAGCAACGTCAATCAGTGTTTTAAGCGTGGTCTGTCCTTTATACTGGCTGTATAAATGAGACTGTGTGTCAAGCTCCTCTGTCTCGGTAACTGCAACCTCTGTGCAGTCCAGTACAATCCTGCAGTTAGGAAAGGGCTGGAAACAGTCTAGCATTGATGTTTGATTCTTGGCCAAGGAGGGGTTGCTGTTATCAAGCATGTCGGCATACAAAATATCATAAAGAGCAGTAACAATGGTGATAAAGATGTTGGTTACTGTTGCTGTTCTACAATTAAATCTTGTTGCAAGGTTGCAAGGTGAAAAACCCAGAGCAAACCAACATGCAACAGCAGACCTACTCCACACAGCATCTGACTGGCAGCTGCAGGTCGACCTAGGTAAGCAGGATGTGCTGGGGGAACCTCAGCTGGGTAAGCTGCTGAGGTTCCCCCAGCACATCGCAACAACAACCCTCCGCCCAGATATGATCATGACCTCTCAGTCTTCGAATCAGGTGATCATGCTGGAGTTGACAGTGCCCTGGGAAGAAAACATTGAGGAAGCCAATGAGAGGAAGAGGACCAAGTACCAGGAACTGGTGGAGGAGTGCAGGGGGGGAGACGTTCTACTAGCCCATAGAGGTAGGCTGCAGGGGATTTACAGGGCGGTCTCTGTGCAGGGTCCTCAGCTGCCTGGGCATTGTAGGAGCGGCAAAGAAGAGGGCCATCAAGTCCGCAAGCGAAGCCGCCGAAAATGGCCACCAGGTGGCTTTGGATGAAGAGGGCAGATCCGTGGGCTGCTACTGGGACGCAAGTTGGGGCTTGATCACCCCCGGCTGGGTCGCCTGGGTGAGGGTGTATGATGTTGCAAGACCCGGAACACTCAATGACCCCAGAATACATCACTGATGATGTGTCCCAGTGCATCCATGAGGTGTATCTTGTATAGTGCAAGGTCTATGTAACCAGAATTAAGTTTAAGATTCATTAAGGTCAGGAGTAACTGGTCGAATAGGGGCATAAATTGGACAGTCCACTCAGAATGGTATTTTAGCTCAAATTTAGAAAGAAGTGCTTCCAAAAACAGAACTGAAGCAGCGTCAGGTAAGCCAGATTTGACTGAAAGAAAGTTTGCTACTGTTTCCATAATTGCTTTTTTTCAATTTCTTATTTTCTTTTTTTAACATGTCATTCTGTATCTTGAGCAACACACGGCTGTTTTTAGTATAGTGGTCTCTCTTGAAGTACTAGGTATGTCTGCAGATGTAATGTCAGCATTGTGTAGTTGAAGTCTATCTGTTTCTTTATCCTCATCACTCATGGGGACCTTTTTTTTTCCTTTTGACTGTGTGGTTGAGGTTGCAAGGCAAGGTTTTCCTCTCATTCCATGCAAATCTTGATGGCCCCTCAGCTTTGCCTGTAAAAAGGAGAGAAGATAAGGGGTCATCATTACACAATTAAAACAGAATTCAAAAGAATCATTTTCCTGTCAAGCCCACTGTAAAGGCTCACCTGAGAGCACACAAAGTAGTTGCTGTGGAATGTCTACGGTGGTATTTTTGGTGCAAAAGGTTTGTGCATCTGTAACACGTAATTTGCAGTTGTATTTCTGGTGCAAACAGTTTGTGCATCTGTAACATGTAATGTGTAGTTGTGTACAAGTAAATGTGAAATCACACACTCCATGAGTTGTGTACTTGTAGATTTTTTTATTTTTATTTCCACAAGTGCAACACAACATTAACACATTCACAAATTCTTAATTACAGGTGCACCAATCCTGTTTTACAAGTCACAGATTCAAACTCTGACACGCTCACATTTTTGCTCCTATTGTTGCAGCATATTTGGTGCAAAACATATTTGTGCACCTGTATGGAGCAATGTGAAGTTGTGGACAAAATTTGAATATGTGCAGATTTTTATGTGAACTTGCGCAAAAAATTTGTGTACAATAAGCTTTCACGAAATAAGTTGTGTTGTTTTAAAACACAACTACAAATCGATAAATACAACCGCAGGAATCTTCTCAACGAGTCACAGATTGTGCTTCCTTTCTACAGCTACAAATCGAAGTTGCTGCATTCTTTGGTGCAAAAGGCGGTTGCTAATCTGAGATTGACGGGTTTTACAACCAATCAGAAGTGATAGCATTTTGTCTCACAGCCAATCAGAGGAGACAAGGCTCTCTACACGGAGAGTCAGAACCAGAGCAGTGGATGGGGTCTCTGCCGTACCGCGTCAGCCACTTACTCATAGCATTGGCCAAATGCAAGGTAAGTTGTGGTTACCACAGACCATGCTGCAGAAGCAAATGAGAGGGTGGGCATTACATTTTTTCAGGGGGGCACACTTATTTAAACCTGTATTTTATCTGCTCCAGGCTTAACGGCAGTTCTTGGCCACTCCTACAGTATTGAAATGTTATTTTCTTTCAGTAACAAGAGGCATTTCATCTTTAAATCTATAGAAATAAAACAAACAAAAACAGTAGTGACTGTAACCTTTGTGAAGCTGGCCCCCCACCCCACGCAAAATTTTGGGAAAATAGTCTGCTTCGTTTGTGCTTCATTTGTGCTAGTTTGTGCTGTTAAAATTTTTGTTTGTGCTGCTTTGGTTCTTAAGTTATTAAATATTGTTTTATAGGTCACACAGAGGTCACCCAGCCCCCCATTTGTTCCGAATGGACCCGAAATGGTGCTGTTCGTCAGTGCTTCGTTTGTGCCGCTGTTGCAGAGAAGTATGCACCTCGCAGAAATGCGCACCGCTTATATCATACCTGCCAACACTCCCATTTTTCCCAGGACTCTCCTGCATTTCATACCTATCTCCCGCCCACCTCCCGTATTGTCATTTCTCCCGGGAATCTCCCGTAGTTTGCGTGTCAGAGTTTGAATCTGTGACTTGTAAAATAGGATTTGTGCACCTGTAATTAAGAATTTGTGAATGTGTAAATGTTGTGTTGCACTTGTGGAAATAAAAAAAAATTGCGCACCTGTAATTAAGAATTTGTGAATGTGTAAATGTTGTGTTGTACTTGTGGAAATAAAAAAAAATCTACAAGTACACAACTCATAGAGCGTGTGATTTCACATTTACTTGTACACAACTACAAATTCCATGTTACAGATGTAAAACCAAAAATACCTCCATAAATGTCGACCACCCTCGGTGGTAGAGGATCAGGGGCTAGAAGCGGTGCTACAGATAGCTAATTTGAATTTAAGTTTGTGCCTGAACGATGCTATCATAACATCTCTTATCCAATTGCACCTAATGTTCACACTAGAGCCAAAAACATATAGGATCTGTATTGAGCGCGTTCCATACTTGTTCCGTAAAGCAGCCCTGGGTATCGCAGATAGGATGCGTATTTGGAGTGTGGCAGCAGCATTGTTCAGCCCCGGTCAGCTGGGCTCAGTATAGAGGAAACAACATGCTCACAACAGGTTGTTTAGCCTTTCTGTGGTCTATTTCCTGCTAATTTGGATATAATTCAGTGACCGTTGAGCCTCTTTTATATGTGAAGAAGCAACGTGATTTTACAGTTTCGGTTTTTGAAGGTTTACTCATGTTTAATAAAGAAAACTATGTTCCTTTATGCTGTGCTGTTACCTTCAGACAAAGTTAGCAGTTAAAAGTCCTGTTGGGGTCCACATGGATCACAGATTGACCATTGTATTGTTCATAACCGTGAAGTATTTCTCATCTACACGAACTGATACACAGTAGGGAGTTCACATATGGTGTTTTACTTTGAAATATCGGGTGACATGCACAGTTTTTGTGCTTGATGTCCTGTCTAGAACAATCTTCTCTGTGTGGATTGATGCACATTGGAAGCATAGAGCAGCAAAAATAGACTCATCATGTATCTTAAGTGGTGCTGCTCTTGGTATGCTTAAGTCCAGAGCCTTAATTAATAGCTAATGTACCTCTGTTATTAATCACAGGGTTGTTTGTTTGCTTGTTTGAGTTCATGTTAGTTTGCAAGTCTGCTTATTTTGTCTTGCTTCCTTATTAATCTGAACTCTACATCAGCTGTTAAAGTGTGTCACGGTTCAGTGGAAATGGATTTGACCGTGATTTTATTCCTGGCGGTGTTGGCGTCTGCATGGTGCCAGCTGCTCACATGTACCTGATCTGAGGATACACTACTCCAGAGACTATTTGCTCAACTACAACAACCTCACGAACAGCAGAACACCGGCGGACCTGGTTTTCCTTGACCTGAAAGAATTTGTCAACTGCCCGGGGAAAGGTGACTACTTCAGAGCTCCACGGCGTAAACTGAGGAAATGTGGCAGAAGAGGCGGAATGCGCCCAAACGCCCACTCCCTCCGCAACAAGATGGAAGAACTTCAGGCTCTCGTTTGCCACCACCACGAGTTCAAAGAAGCCTGTATCCTGGCCTTCACAGAGACGTGGTTCGGGAAGAAGGGGTCTATTAAAAAGGCCTATAAATCAATCCCTCGCCCTCCACTGGGTACAGCTGACCATAACTGTGTGCACCTGATACCATCTTATCGGACATGTCTCCAGAGGGGGAAAGTGACAACTAAAAACATCAAAGCGTGGTCAGAAGAGGCCACAATGACTCTGCAGGGCAGTCTGGACAGGACAGCTTGGGAGGAGTTCATTGAATCCTCTGGTGAACTCACCAATGTGGTCACCTCCTGGATTACCTACTTCGAGGACACTGTTATTCCTGTAAAAAGTGTTAAATCCTACCCAAACAGTAAACCCTGGGTGAGCAGACATCTCAAAGTGCTTTCAAATAAAAAGAAACAGGTTTTTAAACTGGGAAACCATACTGAGCTAATGTCTTTACAAAAGGAAATCAAACAGGAAATCAGGAGGGGTAAATTAGCCTACAAACAAAAAGTTGAAGACA